TTATGCAGGATACTGAAAGTACTTGTATAATTTATCTTTTCCATTTGTTGAAGTTGTAAAATTAAATAATGCAAGGCACCTACCTTGGATGATGATGATATTATTATGTAAAATAAAAAGAAAACAAAGACTTTATCCTTGTTTTAAACAAACAGATAATCTCTGTACCAAAAATAAATACTTGTAACTTAAGATGCTTGTTTAGCATACAGTACCATAAGGCCAAATATTTTGTTAGATGAGTTCAAAATGAGGAATCTCGTGACATATGGTGAACTATCAACAAAGAACAAGGTAGGAATAAAGAAAGTAAAGGCAAAATCTCACGAATTTGTAAGAAGCAGGTTATCCTGTTACAGATCCTAAGAGTATTGCCAACAGTTTTAACATTTATTTTACTATGCAGAGTGTCATTCCGATTAATGTTAAGTGTCAAGATAAATCAGTAGTTCAATCCATTTATCTTGCACCTTCAACAGCAACTGAAATTTGTACAGCAATTGGTGGACCTTCAAATTCTTCATCTGGTTGGGATGATGTACTCCCAATAACTGAACCTTAACTGTACTTGTAGATAAAATATGTAGTACAGGAGAATTTCCCAAGATACTTCAAGTTACTAAGATCATACCCATTTACAAGGGTAGTGATCCAGATAAAATGGAAAATTATCGGCCAGTATCTATTTTATCTGCATTTGCACATGTTGTTTTAAGTAATTCACAATTTGGTTTCAGTAAGTACAAATCAACTGAAAAGTGTATATTGGCAATTACATCAAAGAATATCAAGGCTTATGAAGCCAAGAAGTCTGTTTTAGTTTGTGCCTTAGATATTGCCAAGGCATTTGATAGCATCAATCATACAATTTTCCTTTTTAATTGTAATCATTATGGTCTATGAGGTAAAATGTATAACATGTTAAAATCTAATTTAAAAAATAGACGATGTTTTACTTCAAGTGATGCTATCAAATATGGAGTTTTAACAATTTATCAAGCCTGTGTTTACCAATTCATTTGTATTACAAAGGATATTACAATATTTAATCCTGATATGAATTTGTTAATTCTATCCCAAGAATGTTTATATTATTTTCGGCAAAAAAAACAAAACAAAAACTACATATGTCCACGAAGTAATTCCGTTTTGAGCTCCAAGTATTTTTTTATTTAACCATTAGATGATTGTTTAACTCCCAGTACCAAGTTATTTAAAATAAAAGTGTCCAATTATGTATATTCTAATTACTCTATGTTTGGTTTAACATATGGATAATTATTGTGCATAGTTTTTTTTTTTATGAATCAATAGAAAACAAGAAGAGAGTTAAAGGTCAAATGGTGAAGTGTCAAAATGTTAGGTCATAACAGAACTGCTAGAAAACAAGACAAAGAACAGAAATTATGAAATGAATAAAACACGAGGAAGTTAATTCTAATGTAGAAAATAAATGCCCACCTTATTATCTGATTAACCATTCTTTGCCCAGTGGAGAAAGAAAAAGATATAATGCCAAGTATGGTAACACAGAGAGTGCTTATGGTGTTTACTAAGCAACAGTTATATCTTGGGGAATTGTTTGAGTACGGTAACACAGAGAGTGCTTATGGTGTTTACTAAGCAACAGTTATATCTTGGGGATTTTTTGAGTACGGTAACACAGAGAGTGCTTATGGTGTTTACTAAGCAACAGTTATATCTTGGGGATTGTTTGAGTACGGTAACACAGAGAGTGCTTATGGTGTTTACTAAGCAACAGTTATATCTTGGGGAATTTTTTAAGTGCTTACTAAATAACATTTATATTTCTTTAATCATCTGAATCATTCTTGAAGCAAGATCATAGCTACTTCACAACACACATAACAATACAATGTCAGGTCACTTTGTTGTACTGACAGAAAATGATTCATAATGTGAGTAGAAGCTGTCACTGCTAATCTAAGCTCAACAAAGCACATCTACAAACCAATGTTTGAAAGTTAATAGAAATAAAAGGTACTTTACCTCAATATAACCATTATTTTTAACACTTTTTACACCTCAGAAATGGCCCTTGGGTATTCTAAATAAAAACTAAATATTTATTATGCAGTTTCTTAAAAGCAATGGGAAATGATCTTAGAATAATTTAAAATGGATAGCAAGAGAGAGAGAGAAAAATAATTTTACACTTGCTTTAGACAACACTGAAACAAGTCTTAACAAGCAAAAGGCTGATCAGTAAGATATAAATAGTACTCAACCAGAGTCTAAGTTCCAGTTAAACTTCAACAACTGAAACCATCACATATATGAGGAGAAATATCATACTTTCTGAATGGATATCACAACAAGCAGGGTGTAGAAACACGTATGTGCCATGCGAGTGAAAAGTATTATGAGTCAACATCCACTGCATTGTGTTACTCATATATTTAAATACAAATAGTAACACAAAGATAATTAAAGCATCACAGCAGGACCTAAATATAATACACCACAAGAAACTGTGTAGTAAACAGGCAGAAAACCAGCAAGTTATGGAGAGTCGTTCATTTGTTAAAGATCGTAAAATGTTATGTAATACCAGAACTTAGGCAATTTCCTCTAGAGCTTTACAGACTTTAGTGAACTTCAAACCAATAAAATAATTTTTTAACGTATGTAAAGTGAGTTGCTGTTTTAATTCAATTTCAAGCTTTAATTTACAGAAAACAACAAAAATATAAATCAGGTCTTACATATGTAGGACAAACAATCAATAATCTGCATTTAAGGATCAACCTACATGAATCTCAAAGTAATAAAGATTAAAGGATGGTGGGTGGGAATCTTATAAATTGTAGAAATTGAGGTTGGCCTATTTTTATTATAAGAATATTTTTGCTTATTTGTTGGGGCAATATGCCTTTTTGTACATCTTATAATATCAGAAAAAGGGTAAAGGTTGGGAGTTTTATATAGTAGAAATTTAGGGTGGTTTATTTTTACTTTAAGGATATATCTAAATATAAAGGGTAACTACCTTCCCACAACTGGCTGCAGACAGCAAATGGCAGTAGGAGTTGAAACATTGTGGGTTCAAGCACTCAACTCCTAAATCTTAACTGATTCTCTATTGTTGCTGATTAGTTCAACATCTGCAGTTGGGAGCTATAGCCATAGAAATTTTCTGCTATGAGTTAATGATGACAACAAGGACTAGCAATGGGAAAAAAACTTTTGATTTGAATATATATATATATATACACGTGTCTAGAAAGTACATACTAATGACAATTGTACAAAACTTAAACTCATTTTGATTTTATAAATAAATATAAGAAGAAAGCACAATTTTCCTGGCTTTTCTTGATGCATGTTAAGTTTTTACATTATTCTTAGAAAGTTGAAATAAATGTTGCAAAACATCACAGACTGTAGAACTTCCATATTTCCTAGACTCAACTGGTTGCGTCTGTCTAACGTTAGCCTTAGGCCTATACATGTGCAAATGAAGAGGATCAGTGTTTCAACTGTGACGATTAATGATGAAATTTCTGAGTTTGATTGTTTTAGTTCCTACCGAAAATTGTTTATCGGTAAGAAGTTGAAACAGCCATGTTAGTTTTATTGTCATAAGCATCTATACTAGAAATTAATCTCACTAAATATTCATGTTATTGGCAGTCATTTTCATTGTGAATTCACACCCACCCATATATATGCATACAAACATTGCATAATATAATGTGTGGTAATGTAACTAACTGAACTGTATATACTGTACTGTGTTACTACACATAGCCATTCACACTCAGTTGAACTCCATACAAAATTTATGTGCATAAAGCAGCACAGAGGCACAGCTTGTAGATGATTGAGAGTTTAGTGAATAAAACAACATTATTAGCCATTCACAAAAGTAAACTTTTCCTAATGTTTTCAGCCCCTTTAGGTAGATTGTATCACCATTTCTCTTGTACAAAATACCATCTTTTTCTAAACTAAAATGTGGACTCAAAGATATTTTTGTGGGGGTTTAAATCTGAGTTTGTAGTTAGGTAATGATTTTAGTCAAGGATCAGAGTCAACATTATGTGTGTAGAGTGAGTATATACAAGTGTACAGTATACTGCAATGCTGTTTTGAGTAAGGGTCTGTTCCAGGGCACTAGTCATCTTTCAGATAACACGGGGGCTTAAGTTGTTAATCCAAAGAAGATTTTAGTCGTCTTGGATGACCATTAAAATCAAGCCCTGTTGTTACAAACACAGTAAAAATAAATATGGGATGTGCATATTTTCAACATTTAAAAAACAACTTTAACTATTACATAGCCTAGTGAAGTGCAAACTGATATTTCTAACTTACCCACAAAGCTTTACATTTAAAGTGAAAAGATCAAACAAGGATTTATAAAGTTTATATTTTCTCATTGAGAACTAAAGTGTCATAATGATCATGACTTAAAACACAGGAACAAAGTATTGCAAGTGTCATACTGATCACAACTTACAGCACAGGAAGAAAGCATTGCAAGTGTCATACTGGTCACAACTTACGGCACAGGAACAAAGCATTGCAAGTGCCATACTGATTACAACTTACAGGGCACAGGAACAAAGTATTGCAAGTGTCATGCTGATCACAACTTACAGCACAGGAACAAAGTATTGCAAGTGTCATACTGGTCACAACTTACGGCACAGGAACAAAGCATTGCAAGTGTCATACTGGTCACAACTTACGGCACAGGAACAAAGCATTGCAAGTGTCATACTGGTCACAACTTATGGCACAGGAACAAAGTATTGCAAGTGTCATGCTAATCATGACTTACAGCACAGGAACAAAGCATTGAAAGTGTCATAATGATTCACAACTTACAGCACAGGAACAAAGTATTACAAGTGTCATACTGATCACGACTTACAGCACAGAAGTAAAGATTGCAAGTGTCACATTAATCACAATTTCAAATAGAATAAATAGAGATCTAGGAGCAAGCCTTAATGATTCGCAGGAAAACTCACCCATTCAGTAATGTTCTTCATCTTCAAGGCTAAAAAGAGGGCTGCTGCAGCAAGCAATGAATCTTTTACATCAACTAAATCATAGTCCATTAAAGCTGTCTCTAGTATATATCTGGCCAAGGTCAACACTTCCATACTGATCTTATCACACTGGGGAGAGAAGTAAAATTTTTGCCTGTAAATATTTAAGTATTTTCATTGTAGATACTAAGCACTTTAACCATTACAAAACAGGGTATCTACCCATAAAGCCTGTAATCAGTTCCTTTTAATAATCACACAGTTGGGAAAATTTACTAATGTCATGAGGAATAATACGGAAATTTCAACTTTCTGTAAAATTGGTTTTGAAAAAGTTGGAAGTATTTTAATATAAAAAAAAGATGATTCAGAAAGTAATCTAGTTCATTATTTTCTATAAAAGTTCTAGGAATAAAAACCTGAGACCAGGCAAGATTGAACCCATGACTATTTACCAGAATACTCACAACTACTTACCAGACAGCTGGTAACACCCATGACCACTTGCCAGACAGCTGGTAACAACCATGACCACTTACCAGACAGCTGGTAACAACCAGGACCACTTACCAGACAACTGGTAATACTCATGACTACTTCCCAGACAGCTGGTATCAACCATGACCACTTACCAGACAGCTGGTAACAACCATGACCACTTACCAGACAACTGGTAATACTCATGACTACTTCCCAGACAGCTGGTAACAACCATGACCACTTACCAGACAATTGGTAATACTCATGACTACTTCCCAGACAGCTGCTAACAATAACTTTTCCCAACCAGATGCTAACTCCCATCACTCACAAATATTTATAGATAGAACTCAAGACCATTCTTCAGCCACGCTAAATGTTCCTTCATGGCTGGAAGTGCTAACTTTAAGTATATTTAAAAAATTATAAGAGCAGCACACAAATGTGTAATGTCTGAGAAAATTAGATGCAGCACATTTTTCTTTGGTGACATCAAACAATTTAATTAATCAATTTTAATATTTACACCACTGTCAGCCACTAAAATGGACATTGAGGAACATTTCACTATTTTTCAATAACATTACTCATACATTAAAAGATTATTCACAATAAAATGTACATAACAATTCTAACATGCAGAGCAAGGATACCTATGCAACTGCATAAGTACTATTTCTATTTTCATACACTACACAACTGGGACAAAAATCTATACAAACTATCTTACCCGAGCATAACGCCTCAAAAATCTGTATGAGAGTGGAATACCAAGGTCAAAATTAATGTTTTTAAGTAGACGAATCTCCATCTGAAGAAGTTCCTTGCGGCTGTAGGCATCATCACAAATATAAAGGAATTCATCAACCACTGGAGGAATCCGCTCCTAAAATGTTTTAAATGGAACCAGTTACCTGATTAAAAACCATGCAACTTAATCAGTGAGTGAATGTCATATAACACTAAAAAGCATATAAGATCATGGAGTGACTGAATAGTGAATCGTACTAATAAAAGG